AAAAAAAAAAAAAAAAAAACTCCATTGAATTTGTTCACCCAAAAATTATGGACTTGGTTCATAGCTTCGGGGAAAAAAAATATATTTGATTTGCATAGCAATACGAAAGTTTGAAATAAACGGGATTGTTTTACATCACATGTCTCTGACTTCCTTCTAACAACTTCAATCGAAGAAGTGAAGTTAGTACTCCTATTGTTGCTAAGAATTGAAATAATTATTTTTATTGAAATATGATGATGCACAAAAATAGTTTTGTACACCACCTGTCAAGTATAGGTAATAAATGCAGTGAAATCAATGAAAAAATTAAAGAAGACACGATTTATAGTGGTTCGGTCAATTCGACCTACGTCCATTCTTCAATGGCTTCAGTTACCGGGTATTTTATTAATTCAGAGGTATGAAGAATAGAGATACAAGCTTTGAGAGAATGGAGAATCAAAGAAAGTGGTCTCCGATCGTCGGTCTATCCTCTGTAAGTGTTGGTAGGGCGTGTCCTCCCTCTTCTACCAGATTGGAGCTACTTTATAGCAGCTAAGAGATCATTCTTGTGGAGATCATGACTTATCCTCAAGGCTTTTTTATCGCAGCTAAGAGATTATTCTGGTGGAGATCATGACTTATCCTCAACGGAAGGAGGAGGTTGGGGAGCTCTTCATGAAACGTGGTCAAAGATTGGACCGTTTCCTTCGGTGGTGCAGATAAGCTTCCCATGCTCTCCTCTTGGTGACGTGCTAAGCAAAAAGTCTAACCGGTCTTGGACTGTCTTGGGCTTGGTGGAATCAAAATGAGGTTGGGCTCCTCAACTGGGGTTGGACTTTAACACATAAATTGGACTATTTGGGCTTAACCCATCATTTGCCCCCCAATGCCCCATGTCCAAGGAGACTTGGAGAAGGAGGCATTGACTATATTTTTTTTTTTGTTTAAACTTCAAGTCTTTCCCACTTTATTTTAAAGAATGCTCATAATATTCTGTTTGGCCTTTTTATTTTGAAAAGGACCCATAACTTTCTATTTAGCCACTTTATTTTGAAAAGGGCCCATAATTTTCCATTTGAGCTTTTTCCCTCTTTTTGAAAAACCCTAGACTATAAATATAGTCTTCTTCNATTTTGAAAAGGACCCATAACTTTCTATTTAGCCACTTTATTTTGAAAAGGACCCATAATTTTTTATTTGGGCTTTTTTCCTCTTTTTGAAAAACCCTAGACTATAAATATAGCCTTCTTCTTCATGTTAC